CCTCTCCCGTTCCTATTCCCCGACCGCTCACTCTGTCTCTCTTTCTCCCTCTTCACTCGCTCACCCTCTGTTTCTCTCCCTCCCCACCACATCCTCTCTGGCTAAGTCTGCGAGTGACTGAGTGGTTATTTAGGTAAGAGCCACTCTCCCCGCGAGAACGGAGGTTGCCACGACTAAGTAATGGTCCTGCAACATATTGTGCAAAGAAAAACCCGGCCGGTTGTTTACCGTCGTGTTGCGAGAGGGCCGTTGTGGGGTGCGGATCCTTCACGGTGTGGTTCGCATTGAATCGCCGGGGAAAACGGTATGCGGCCGTGACAAAGTCGCTAGACGATTAGGGACAGATTAGCGCGGCAAAGAAGCGTGTGAGCGTATTTAGACGCGAAACCGTTATGGCCGTTATGGGGCGGAATATTATGGATGTAACTGCTCTGATGTGCACTCCGCGGTCTGCGAAAAATATTTCATAAGCGCGGCCAATATATATTATTAGGATGATATAATTAATTTTATGTGCGAATTTTGGTACAAGTTCAGGCTATGTTCAGCATGAATAAAAGCTTATGTCGAAATTTAATTCATTCTAATTAATGGATTGGAATTGAGATGTGACATTCGATCTAAATCATATAAATATTTAACAATTTTGTGACACAAAAATGGAGCAAAAGGATGATTTAAAACGTTAAATCAATTATAACTTGATATTTATAAATATCAATATAATTAATAATCAGTAAAGTTTAATAATATAAGGATAAAAATATATTTTAGTATTAACAGAAGGAGAGCAGGGTGTAATTCTCTATTAATAGCATTAATATAAAAGATGCCATCTCTCGCTGAGAGAAAGAGGGGCGTAGAGGCAGGGGTAGGGAAGCTGATCGCAGGGAGAAAGCCTAGCCGTCTGAAAAATGACTGGGGTACTCGGTTTCTCCGTTGTCGAGGTGTCCGTGACTCCCGGGTCGCTCTTTCAGCAACGTAATTACGGATTAGATCGATGGGAGATTGCTTCTCTCTAACGCGGGCGGGCTGAGAGAAGGGCAACCTCGAAATCTCTCGCGCGCGTGCGGGGTCGATACGTATAGTAAACGCATTTATACGCGTAATGTACACGCGATGCAAACGTATACATATATATATATATATACACTCGCGGAGCGCGTGCGAAAGCCGATACCTCGCTCCGATCGCGCATCTCTCGCGGTTCCCTAAAATCGGACGGGTCCAGCACGTGCGCCCCCGGTATATTTGGGCCACGTGCCGGTTGCTCTTGAAAATCGATAATTCTTTCTATGGCGATGGCATTGTGTTCCTTCGCGATTATAAATATTATTTTAGCACGCACAAGAATTCAGGCGGTGTGCCGCAAACTGGAGCGAGCAATTGTTGCATTCGTCGCAACTCCGGTATTTATACGAGATAGAAACTAAATTCCAAGAGATCTCATTTATAAATTGTAATACAAATTTTTGAAAAGTATAACATTTTGCGAATACATTGCGTGGATTAAAATCAAGTTACGCATTAATTTTAAGAATAGTCAATTTAACAGATAGCATATAATTAAATAATTAATAAAATATAAGTTGAAGTAAAAAAAATTGAAATCGCGTCACCGAGTATTCGAATTTCGATTAGTTTCGGGAGTAGTTTGAAAAAGAGATCACACTGTGCGTACGAAACTACCACGGACACAATGTGCACGATAATACAATATATATTCGCTATTATATTCCCCCTTCGCTAACACAAAGACTGATCATTAGATCGATTATTCGGCTGAACGGCGCCTAAAAAAGCAGTTAGTTAGAAAATTCGCAGGGATTACGATGCGGATTGCGTGTGCGTGTGCGACGCAGTTGATTCGATGGAAGCAAAGCTGACAGAGGTGTGTGGCGGACAGCATAATGTGGTAGGGTAGGATAGGGTAAATGGTACATATATGGTGCGGAATACAGCGCGCTTGTATAGTATTGGTATTGGTAGGGTGTATAGGATAGAGATGATCTGATTACTGAGCACATCATGGGAAAGTCAGCTTGCTGAGGGGTAGGAGGGAGGTGGAAACACGCGATTCACCCCGGTGCCCCATTGTAACGACGACTGTCACCGACGCGTATAATTCGGTGAGATCGGCGCGCATCCACGTGTTCCGCATTAAAGTTACACCGCGGTATAGAAAACGTGAAACAGATCTATATAGACAGTGGGGTGAGAATGTCGCGTAGCACGTTCACGTCGGTCTAAGGCGGTTAAATGCGGACTCGAAATCCCATCTACATACATATTCCGAACAGTGGTCACGCTTCTTTCTTTCACGCGTCCGGTCCCGATCATGAAAACGTTCAGCAGGGCGAATAAATCGCAACATTGTATACCTATATACAAGGCAGTTCTGACCGACATCACCGTTCGAGTCAACTCTCGGACGAAAAAAAATTGAAAAAATAATATTAGTATCGCTTCGGACAAAAACTGTACTATCGAAAAGAAATATATATAAGCTACTCTCTGCAGCTTTTGTCCGAAGAGTGGCAATTCTTTCCCCTTGACGTTCTCACAGTAAAAGCAAATAAAATTTCAAATAAATAGTAGATTAAGATTTTTCCTTCTCTATTTATGATATCGATTTCATATAGTGATCAGTATAGAGATCGATTTAAAGAAATAAAAAACTTTTATATATGTAATCGTTTACCTGTTTTGTTAATTATTAAATTGGCAGTTCTCTCGAATTCTAAATCTTGTCCCGATTAAACGTGTTTCTATATTGCTCGAAATAGGACATCATTACAAACATAATGATGCCTCTGCGTCTTAATAAGACTCGCAATCGGGCAGTCGCTGGTGATGCATCTACCCTATACATCCGTACTCGACATGCATCGGGACATGCATCATTCGATCACCACGAACGAGTAAATCCGATTGGGCAATTTCGAATGGGAAATGGTCGAGGCTACCGCGCACGCGACACACTAAGGAACCGCGAAGAAAGGACGGTCCACAATGGACCGTTTATCAGGAGCCGTGATACCGGTTCGCGCTTTTCTGCCCGCGGTCCATCAATAAAACCCCGAGTGATTTAGCGAGTTCCTGGACCGGACTGGACGGACGGGCACGCAGGAGGTAGTAGAAATCGTAGCACCCACGAATTTCCAAGATAAAGGGGTCAACAATGGGCAAACCGATGGTTGGTATTCGGCCAGTGTCGAAACGACGCCTTCCAATCACTCGCCGATAACAATGCCCGGTGCCAGTGGTTTATAAATCCGTGCATTGTTGCCAACTTAAAAGCTCTCCTGACGAACGACCAGGGTGGTAAAGAGAGAAGGAGAAGGAGAGACGGATAGATTTTATTTAACTTGCACACAGAAAGAAAAAGAGGAAGGGAGAGGGAGAGAGAAGGGGTGAGGTAAGTGAGAGGGAATCCGCTCGAAATCTTGACGTTGAAAGCAGCGGCGGTAAGGCGAAAGGGACGAGGAACGGAGATGCGGGAAACGAGAAAGAAGCGTTTGCGAGAAGCGGGAGCGAGAAAGTGCTGGCGGAGCTTGAGAGCCGTGTAAAAGCATTGAGAGCACTTTAATGAATACGATTAGGGGCGTTAACTGTGAAGGATTGCCAACCCGAAGAAAGCGCCATTCGCGCGAGAAAGCCCTCTCTCGTCCTCTCTATACCTCTGCCGACGTTGACCGGTCACAGTTTTACTTTGTGTACCGAACGTAAGAGAGCTTCGACATCTTTAGATTAGGCCAAATTCGAAAACGTTCCCTTGGAATAATCTTACGTTCGATCGTGACGAATAACATCTCGTTTACGCGTTGCTCGTTAGGTTTTAAAAATATCTAATATAAATAAAAATGAATAATATACAGTTTTTGCCTATTATTATATTGAATATAAGAGCTTTATGCGTGCGAGAAAATATTTCATTTATTTTAAACTATCTATACTACGAATTTGTAATGTATGCATACATATATCATAACAGCTTTTGCAATAATACCAGTAAAAAGTTTATGCAAATTTTACGCGCAACACACCTTACTAGTCATAGTTTAAAAAAAAATTAAATTAAATTATTTCGAGGCACTCCGTGTATATGAATAAATATTTCTCGTAATGCTCTCCGCAAAGCAACATTTGACAACTATATTTCTATTTTTTTCTTCATGTGCACTAATTGGTAAATTATAGATTCCGACGCTTCCGACATTCACGAAGCTGAAAAACGTATCGATACTCGAGAGAGGAGAAGAAAGAGGAAAGAGAGGGAATAGAGCCGTCGTTGACAGATGCACTTATCTTCCGATTTGAGGACACCGCCATGCTATCGGCATGCAAACGACAAACCATTTCCTATGCACACTCTCGTTAGTTTTCTTGTCAGTCGAGCCGGCTCGAATAATCTGCCTCATTACGGAACGGAACGGATAGAAGCTTCCTACGCGATGTAACGCGTCAGAATGATGCACGTTAGTTATCTACGTGTTACTAATTGTCGAGATATTTAATTAAAAGACAGGCACGAGCGCGCGATGCATATTCTATTATCTAGTTCTCATTAAAGAGAAAGATTATTCGCGAAATTCGTCACGAAATCTTACGCACACGTCTCGAATCAAACGCGTTATCTGCAGTGTGCAACTGTCATACACGCATCTCTCCGATTCACTTTATAATCCGGACACATGGCTAGGTAATATGAACGCGGACAGCATGACGCCGAATGATCGGCTTGCTCGACTCCAGCTGACTCCACTGTAATTATAGACCTCTAATTATGACGTCCTCTCCTTGTCACGATCGCATCTCCGTTAAGACCTCTAATGGAAAATGGAGAACGACGCGAATATCAAAGCTTATTATCACAAATAAGATGCTATCGATCAAACCTAATTTTCAAAATCGAAGAATTTTAAACAATTATTATTTTATTGTTCTTTATTCGTTTGTACTCTTATTTTAATTGTTCGATTCATTTATTTGTGTTTCAGATCCGCGATTTTGATCAAGAACCGTAGGAGAACACGCGGAAGGTCTAGAGTTGTCCGGATTTATCGAGGAAATCCGCAAGAAAGAGCGCATCCCCCTAAAACGCGCTACTCTCGTCGTATATCAGCGCCATCTCCTCTTCCGCGACTATCCTGGACCATCCTCTTCGCAATCTCTCCCCTTACTACGCAATCTTACCTCTCTCCTAGCTCTCTTCCTCGCGTGTTCGCGCAGGCCCCGATTAATTAATTCCTACCTCATTAGCGAACGCGGCCCCGGCGCGGCGTTCTCCTCTTCCGCGCGCTCGCCGTATATAAGTGGCGACCGGATATCGCGAAGCTTATACGCGCCGCAAATACGGAGGGGAGGCGCATGTTGCATATTATTAATAACAACTGTTTGCGGACGGCTTTTCTGTTTTCCCACCCCTTTCCACCTCCTGTCCCCCGCTCGTTGCCAATTTGTCGGCGTAGATATTGGATTCAGGCGCTTTAACAACGCCGCATTATCGGCGCGGCCGGTGATAAAAGACCGCGCGACGTTCCAGCCGGCCAGCGGTCTGGACCCCGATGTTTTTCCAAGGGCGGTCGTTATCCCCTTGTAATCGTACCCGTGTCTCGTTAACGGAACGAGTCTAGATTTTACTATCTCCTCGCGCGCGCGCGCGCGCTCTCTCTCTCTCTCCAGGCGACCGAATTCTTTTTTTGTCTCGGAACGCGCTATCGTTCTGCTCGCTGTATGTGTTTATAGGAGAAGTGGTAAGAGTCTGGTACGCACAGTATATGTCAGAGCTGCATTGATATTAATAGCGTAATGATAAATTAATTGTAGAGATCGGATCGATGCGTATTAAAGATCGCCTCGCAATTGTGTCAAATTCGAGTGACAGAATTCATGCGTTTTAATTTAGACTGTAATTTTAAGTTGCTCAGTGATAATTTAAATTGAAACTTCAATTCACGAACTAATACGGTGCTTAACGTGTAATAATTAATAATATTTGTGATTGTGTCGCAGATCAATCCAACATCTACGCCGACTGTGTCGCTGTATACGTTTAAGAGAAGTGGTCAGAGTCTGTATACGCAGTATGTTAGAGCTGCATTCATATTAATAGTAATGATGAATTATAATTGTAGAGCTCGATGCGTATTAAAGATCGCCTCGCAATCGTGTGAAATCCGAGTGATAGAATTCATGGGTTTTTATTTAGACTGCAATTTTAATTTGTTCAGTGATAATTTATATTGAAATTTGCGAATTAAAACTTCGATGCTTAACATATTATAATATCTGTGATTGTGCCAAAACAAAAATACGACACGCTCCAATTTTCGTCTTATTTTAAGACGTCTTATTTCGGGAGTGCCGTTCTTTCTGTCGTTTAAGCGTGACATAATTACTACGATTTTCCGCGAAACGCGACCGTTCTTATTTTTACATCCGTTGCCTTTTATACGCGCGAGGGTGCTCGTTACTGAATAAAACGCTCTCGTACGTCCGGTCAACAAAACCTGAGAAATTACGCGTTTGCAAACGAACGCTCGCACTGGGACGAAAATGAAGGACAGAAAAAGAGAAAAAAGGGAGAAAGAAAGAGAGAAAGCCCCAATGGTCGAAAATGGTGGAAAAATGTCCGAGAAGTTTTAGTTAAATTACTTAGACCGTGGGATTGCCCTGTTGGACGTATACGACAGGGGATAGCCTGAAGTCGAAAAGAGGAAGAGAGAGAGAGAGAGAGAGAGATCGTGTGTATGTGTGTGCATTTGTGCTAGAGTATACGAGGAGTTAGGGGGAGGTGAGCTATCCCCAGCTAAGAGGGTTTGCTTGTATCCCCCGAGATGCGCATACGTCATCCGATTAAAATTAGTAATTAGCTAATTAACTTAAGCGCGCAGCACTCCGGACTAAGTAAGTTGACCGCCTGATTATGATGCATCGCTTCTGAGTTCGGTTTCGTGCGAAAAAGGCGCGCGTCGTTAAAAAATCCACCACCCCGTGGCAAAACGAGAAAAGATGAAACGGAGGAGGATCTCTCCTAACGTCGAATCACTCTCTTCGCGATTTATCTCACTCCGTGTGTAACTCAATGGTACTTGTAATAGCCACCGTATACACGGATATAGAGTTATAAAAAAATCATAGAATTTCGAAAATATTGCTTCGTAGAATTTTCAATAACGCGATAGCTAAGGTAATTTTTAAGTAATACTGATTCATTGTCCAAAGTCTTAACGAATGAGATATGTTTCTTGAAAAATATATTCATCGAAAAGATAAAGGCACAAAAGGAAAGTAAAATTCATTTATCGCACGTGACATCATTCGACTCTTTGTTGTACATCTAACCGTAGAAGAAAAGAATAACTTTCGGTCAGAACGGAAACGCTCCTAGCAGAACATTCCGCTCCGGGGTTAAGGAATAATAAGAGGAATAGAAGAGATCTTTTGCCACATGTGTCAAGACGGCGCGTCGACGAGGGTGTGAAATTGACGTATTATATGCATGAGATGATATCTATGGGGAGAGTCGATCGTATCTCCGTATTCGAGGCGGTGCTCGCGGAGAAGGGACGCGAGCGCCGAGAGTGATCCAGAAGTGCTTTCTCGTGTTCCTTAACTAACCGTTCGCCGGTCCTCCGGACGTCTCATCGGTCGCACTTGCCTGCACCGAGAGAAGAAAACGATGGAGAAAGAGAGACGGGGCGACGAGGACGACGACGGTAACACCACTAAGGACTGTATCTTCGCCCACACCCCCTTATCTTCTCGTTGCTCTTATCCACCCCCTTATCGCCCCTCCCCCGCAACTGCTCGGTCCTACCCTCAGAAAAACTTGGCGAATGGCTTCGAAACGTCGCAGGTATATGCTCTCACCTTGGCTATCGCTCGCAATTTGCAATGGCCTCGCGCAAAGTACACGAGCGCTATTTTCGTGAAATACTCCCTATCTTAGACAAATGCTTAAAAAAACCTGTATGCACGAACTTTGGAATTGTGTTGAGAATTCAAAAACGTAGAGGGAAAAGTTTCCTGGATCTCTCTCTCTCTCTCTCTCTCTCTCGAAATGTTGAATCTTAAAAGTTCCTTTTCCGTATTGTAAGCCATTGTGAAAACCCTCCGCGAATTAATTTTCGTAATCTAGCTCTTTAATCTATTTTAATTTAATTTTAAATGAATCTTACTTAACATATATTTTAATTCAACAAGAGTATACATTTTAACGTAATAAGATTAAATTATTAAGATATTGAAAACTTTTTTTTTAATGTAAAAAAGAAATTCAACTTTGAACTTACCAAAAATTTATATACAGAGTTTACACATATATGTAGTTTCTCAGGAATTCTAATTAATTTCCAAATGAAACCGATGCCATGCAAAAGAAATAAAACATTACGAGATATATTTCTTTCGAAAAGATAATTATTTTATACATATTAACGTACTTTTTTGTATTAGAATAGGAAGAAATATTCTAAATATATTCTATAATAAATAAATTATTAAATAATATATTGAGCATTATGTTCTTTTTTCATCATTTTCATAATAATAAGATAATAATAAGACGTCGCTGCTTTTACGAAAAATTATCTAAATATAAAAAAATGCAAATAAATATCAAAAGGCTCTCTATGTGCCTCTATACGAGACTTTGTCTTTCAGAGTAAATCTCGAGAGGAGATTACGTGCCGGTATCCTTCGAGACAGATTCGCGACTCGGCTCGCTAAGTGACAGTAACGTAGCCGGAATTGCGACCATTGGGAAGGCTCGGAAGTAATGTGTCATCGTTAAAGGATTGTAAAGGATGTAGGGAGCTGTCTACCCCTTCGTTTTCTCCCGTTACGCCTCGTACGCTTTTCTTTTCTCAAGGAACTTTAACTTTTCCGCGAGCGAACGTTATTTCGCATCGTGCTATTAAAAACGCGATAAGTAATTTTACATCTAAATTTATCAAAGGGAACAAGACACATAATACGATCGATATGCGAGAATTTTAACGCCGTTTTCGCGTCCAGAATTTGCAAAAAAATGTCCCTTCGCCGAAACTCTTTCGCTCGCGCTCTTAGCCGAAAAGCGAGCGTCACTAAACGATGCTTGATAGTCCTCCGCTATTGGAAGGATATCGATTGCTCGTAGCCGGGGAAGCATCGCGGTGGCCGGGAGAGACGCCGAGGCTTTCGATTCCAAAGTAACGAGGTCCGGTAATGGAACCCGTATGTGTAATTTACCACGGAACTGGAGGCGCACGCACGTATACACACACACACATATACGCGAGGCGAACGCACCCACCCGTCCACCCACACGCGCGGAGGGCGGCTTGATTAAAATTTCTTTGGAGTCCCTTCCCCCCCCCCCTCTCTACTCATCCCTATCCTGGTACGGCGTTCGTTTGTCTCTCGATCCGGGAATACTCATCAACCTCCACATGCGGGCTCCTGCAGGACAACGATGCGCGCTTCGACCCGCTTAACGGACAATTAACGTCGAGATCCCAGCGAGGCGTGTAACGAGCACACACAATCTTCGAAAAAGATTCGATGGTATCCTCGATTGTTCGCCGATGTTCGCGATCGCGAAAAGGATCGCCTTCCGCCTTGCGCACCGCAAGAACGATCAATTTTGCGGGCCATTGTTCCCGGTAATTGAATTATTTGACGTTTTCGGCGCGGAAGACTCCGCCATAACCCGCTACCAAATTCGAGTCACGATGCTATTTCGATATTGCATTTTATTGCAAAAATAATTATCTTTTTATATATTAAAGATGCGACAATCTAATAGTTCTGTACATAAAGTCCTTTATTACAAGATATCGGCAATTAAGCAGTGTTTTATTTACAGTATCAGAAAATAAACTTACCGAAGAAGTGTCCTCCTTTCACTCTTTGATCCATCCAGCAACCCAGCTGCGGAGAGATTGAACTACTTGTCTGAAGTTGCCGCCTTTTTATTTTTTATGAGTTCCAAAATCGTCCTGAAAAGTGTCGCAATATTTAAGCATGCGCGATATTGTAATAATTGTGCAGAACGAATATATAGCAAGAGCAGCTTTATGAATTCGTTTCTCTTTTTTTTTCTAGTACAAAAGAGAAAAGGAGAAATAGAAAATATACCAGAAAGAATTTTCTAATTAAGAGCTCATTTCATAAAGCAAGTCCGCGCTCGTGCTTTAGAAAGAGAAAGAGAAAGAAATGTAAAAAAGTATATTTAAGAAGAACAAGACCTCTTTCTCTTTCTCTTTATTGACACAAAAATGCACTTTCCTTATTCACTTCTTTTACAACACAAAGATAATTAAAAAACCTTAAATAATAACGCGCGTTAACCTTTATGTTTCTCTATATCGAAATGAATCTGACATAGTAAATGTTCATATAATTGATTAATTACATATTATTTCAAAATCTTTATAAAATGCTTTAAATAATAAAAGAGAATGAATTGTTACCTTAGGCCTTAGGCAGCTCTGACAAAATGAAAACAGAGAGTTCTTGTCGGTTTGATGCGAGATTAATTTCGACCGCGAAAAATTATTTGCACTTGGCGCCATAAACAAAAATTTGATAGACGAGCAAAAAAAGCTTAGGAATTTTCACAAAGTTGCTCCCGTTTGCATCGCAACGTCAAAAATTAAACTGCTTACCCGCAAAAATTTGTAATTCACACTTGTCAAAAGACTCGAAAATTATTTATACACATATATATCGAATACGAGAAAGTAGGTTTCCGTGGGATTTCGAGCGTAAACCAACTAGGTGCTCGAGGTGAATTGATTAAAATCGAACCGCGCGCGCGGCGCACGCTAACAAAGGAGAATTGCGGTACGGAAAGGGTGAAGAGAATGTAGGTGGACGTGTAGATGGAGCGTAGAATGGGGAATGGGCAAACAGAGCGCAATTAACGTGCAACCATTAAATATGTACGCGCGCGTTGCTACAGCGCGATGCATGTGCGCAGGTCGGGCGCGCAAATACATCGGGAGAGTATCGAATACTTTCTCTCTCTCTCTCTCTCTCTCGCTTCCTCCTCTAACGCGAGCGCGCGCGCACGCAGGAACGAACGGGGGCACGGCGTCTCTTCTCTCGTGCCCTGTTGGCACAGCCGCTTGATTAGCTTCGCCATATTTACATGTCATTAGCCGATTGTTTGTCCAAGTCGGTAACTCCACCCGCGTCTCTCGCGTCGCCGCAGTTCAGCCATTTTTCAACCGGAATCTATCCGGCGATTGGACGAAACGTTACCCCGAGCGTTACTCGTGGAATTTCCGGAAATTCTCGAAAATTAAATATCGCGCGAAAAGGTTTTTTCAAAGTGAAATACATGCGTCCGCAGGATTTTTTCCAGAAAGGCATGATTAATTTTTTTTATTTTTGTTTTTTCTTAATTTTTTTTAAATTTTTTATATGAAATATTTTTTTTTTTAATTTTTTTACATTAAATAATTTCTAGTATTTAAAAGAAAAAAGCAAATGCTTAATTTTTTTATTGATTCCAAGGGAGCAAATGCCCGCTTTGCCCTGCCTTGCTATGGTGGAATATATACTTACATGAGTATGCTGGTTTTGAATGTTTTTTTATTCCATAAAAAATACGAATTTCGATCTCAATATCTCGTTGCCTACATTGCATAACAACGTTTTCCTTAATTAATTTTATACATTAGTTATAATCGTAATTGGGCAAGCTAGCGATGATGCTTGGCGAAAATTTATATTAACGCGAAATAAATAGTTGGACTTGTATAACTTAATTTTAGCCAATAATAATAATAATGTCATCGATACGTCTCATCATAATCAATTAATTGCATCTGTCAAACGGATTATCCTTCGGTCCCCCTTTTTGCAGGTAAAACGCTGCAAAAAAATCACAGCTTTAATCTCTACCCAGATGGAAAACAACTATAAACAAATTAAAATTAACTAACATTCGAATATCGTCAAATTTTTCTTCGTAACGTAGTAATTCAAAACGTAGTAATTGCTTACGAATACGCATACACACATACATTCCATTCTTTCTTTCTCGCTCTTTCATTCTCTTTTTCTTTTCGCGGCAAGGATACGACTTTCGTAAGAAATAGATAAGTCTACCTATTTCTACCGCGTCGCTTTATGAAACTTATGGACAATTGCCCTTAAACTCTAATGCTTTCGGTTATGGTAACGAGGATTTGATTAATCGTATTGTTGTGATCGTTCATTTTCGATCACCGATCATCGATTGTGTCGTGATACGCATTTTTTTTATCGTGATGCGTACAACTCTTCGATTACCGGTTTTTAAAAAGTACCACTTTTACATCACTATTAAGGCAGTATGGTAATGTGACTTGATTTACGTAATATAGTTAGGCTTCCTTCCGCGTCTTTTCTTACTAGACGTAATTGCGACATCTCGGATATGTGCTCGTTTCTCTAGTCGCAGGATCACAAAAATATAAAGAGAACATATGTCTACCGATTGTACATGAAACGAATTTTCTCTTATCGCAAATCATTCGTCACTAAATATGAAGAGATCATCACTTTTTCAAATAACAATATTATTATCAGAGTAATGCAATTGATTTCGATATCGCATTCCGCAAGAAATCAATTTGCTCTGAAAGAAATAATTGCGCGTGCAACTTTTTTTCAAAAAAGAATTTCAATAATTGTATATAAATATGGAAATAAAGACAAATATAGTTTTATGAAAAGTGTCTCGTCTCGAGTGATCTATTATTTCAATCACGTAAAACCATCTCGAGCGAGCTCTAAAAAGATCTATTAAGAGGTAAAAATTATTTGTAGGAATAATGTTTTTTTTACCCTACGCCTGATAGGCCACGATACAGTTGGAGATGCGGATACGCGATCATGCTGACGTTTCGCATAAAAAAACTTTCCAGGATGTCGCTAAACTGTACGTTGTAAAATATTTCTAGGATACAACGTGAATCGTATACTGACACAATTGCTATGATTCAGAGAAGTTACAAACGTGTCGTCGAGATACCTCGTGTGCGCGAGTAACCCGATGCACACGATCAACAACGTTAATGTCAACGTAATTAGCCTAATTATATCTAGCCAGTGGCGGCGTCACTGCGATCGGTTTCACTCGCCGTAGCCGACTCGTGCCTCCTCAACTCCTCCCTCTTTTCCTGCGGAGAGACGATACCAAGGGCCAGAATTTCGAATTCGTCCGAGAAATCATTCGCGTTCATCGCTTGTTCCGGAGTGTCGCTATGGCCACTGCTGCTACTGCTACTGCTTCTGCTTCTGCTCCTCGATCGCCTACCACTGGGTAAGTCTTGTCTCTCGGTGTCAGCCTTATCGTCAGGAACTGAGACTTCGTTATGAAGATCCGAAAGATTGCTTTGTGCGATACGCAGCACCGCCGTCGTCTCGTTGTCCTGCTGTTGCCTCGCGTGATAGGTGTTAATTGAAAGGACGCTCGCCGCCGGATAATCATGCTCAGTCTGTTGGAAAGCGAACTCATCTTGGTCGGAGAAATCGTCGGAGGGCTTTGCCAAAGTTATATCCGAAGAACGGACGGGCGACTTGTCCGCGACGTTATCGTCGTGAGAATTTTCCGAGATCGTATCGCGCTCTACCCACGGAAAGCCATCGTCCAAGCGATCCTCGTCCAAGCGATCCTCGTCCAAGCGATCCTCGTCCAAGCGATCCTCGTCCAAGCGATCCTCGTCCAAGTCGTCGCACGATGTCAACAGTGGAGTTTCAGCAACGGCATCATCGTCATCGTATCGTTGGATGGGTGCGTCTTCCCGGACAGCTTCTTCATCGCCAACACCGTCCTTGTGTGCTAGCTTTGTTCCAAGTGGCGCTGATATATGCGCTTCTTCCAATTTCACGTGCTCAAAGAACCTCGTGAGGGCGCGCCGCTGGAGCTGGACTGCTGCTGGCTTGGTGTCTGGCTGTTCGCGCGATTCCAGCTCGTGTTCCGCACGGCAGAGCTGCTGTCGCAGGAGCGGATAGTCTCGGTCGTTTGAGCCGAGGCTTCGTGACTCACGTGAACGACCGGTGATGGTATAGGACTTATTATGGCTTGGGAACAGTGAGTGGATGAAAACGCCGGATCTTGACCCGTGCTTGCTACGACCGTCGAGATTCTTTGCTGTTGCTGCTTCCTCTGCTGGTCCGATTGACTTTGATTCGTTGCTGTTCTCCGCGTCACCGTAGAAAGGCAATAAGGTTTCTGATCTGCTTGACTGATTGACACAGAGTTTGCCACCTGAGAGTTTGGCCCAGGGCTTTCTGCCGTTGAGGGTCGCTCGATCCAGTTGATAGTCGTTCGAGACGGGGTTAAGAGAATTTGACAATTTGGGTACGGTGACACAGGTGAGGGAAGCTGGGCGATTGTTTTGTTTCTTGCGGATGTTATTATCGTAGAGCAAGGAGTGGAGGGAGTGGAAGCCGGCCTGAAGGGTAGAGCTGCCACTGAGCGGCAATTGATAGTTGAAAATTGCGGAGCGGTTTTGGTCTTCGGTTTCACTGCTAGAAGGCTGATCGGACCTTCCAGCTGATTCGGTGATTTTCTTGACAATGAGATATGATTGGTGTTTTTCTGATTGACTGGTGGTGTTGCTGGACACCTGGTGGGGCTGCGACATGCTTTGCTCATCTGCTTTGATGTAGGTGAAGCTCGATCGTGGATGTTGATCGACGATGCAAGGGTAGTTGCGAGGTTTGATGTTTTGTCGTTGTTCGATATCGATGAAATTACTGCCTTCTGATTGCTCGGCGTTTGTAGTAGAGGTATTGCTTGCGGTGATTGGGATGAGGAAGGTTGAGGCGGGCAGGTGGTTGACGCCGAAGGTGGTGGAGAGGACGCGCTTTTTCTTAGCTGCACCAATTTTATGAAGTCCACCAACCGTTTTATAGACTTTTGAGTTTTCTCTTGCTTTCCCAATAGCTCTTGACGCATGCGCTGTTGCAGCTATTGAAAAGAAAAGAAATCTATGTTAAATACTTTTACAGACAAATATTTCTAATTTAAATATGTAGTATAAATTTTTAACTCTATCGCTACTAACAAGGAAACATGCAAGTATCTGCCTCTAATTTTGTTTTTAAATATGTATTTTTATATCAAATTGCGATAAGAATGGTCCGCAACATATCGCATGACTACAGACGAACATAAAGAACACAATTTAGCAAATCAATTATAGCATGCATTATTGTATTCTGATATTACATATTACTATATTATGAATATGTGGCGCTAAATATTTTTTATATTGTTAGAAAAATTTTGAAAATCAAGAATAAAAAACACAAAGCGTAAAAATATTTTTAAAAAAATTTTGAAAAACTTCATATAGTTATAAAGTGTATATTTAAATATCAAACTTATATCTAAAACTTATTTTATATACGCTTTTGACGATATTTATTCAGAGTTAATCTGCGTCAACTTAGATAGATGACGTTTTTCATATTCCAAATGCATGATTGAGCATTTGAAAAAATTTTATCTTTCATTTTGAACTGTTCTTTGTATCAAGGAGGCAGTTTAATGTTTCCTTGTAAGAGAAACTTATAACTATTCTTATGACTTTCGTCATACGTTTACATAAACAGCCGCTATATAGCTCGCTAAAAACATTCGCTCAATAAACTTAATATAAATTTTGAATATCATGCATTTTACTTAGTCGTCGATTTACATTAATTCGTAAAGAGATTGTTTATTTACATGATTAAATAAAACATTTAAATTCTACAAGAAATAATATATTGTTTACTTCTCTAAAGTAAAATACTATTTCGTTACAATATACAATTGTAGCATAATATTGGCTAATTGTGACAAGAATAATTCACAGTCAGTCTTTTCTTCTTATAAAAATTATTTTCAACCAATTTATCTCTTTGGTTAAATCAGTTATCTCTTTGGATTATATTTTAACTAGACAGGATATTACACAAATGTTATGATTGATAATACTGTTATATCTTTGCATATGATAAATTATATCACTGATCGACAATGAAATTGAGAATAGTGATATTTATTTTCTTTATATCTAGTATAAAACCGATATTAAAACAATGGAAACATTTTTTTTTTCAGTAATGATTCAAATATATCTGATAATCTAATCTAAAGAATGTTTTTTAGGACATTTAGACAAAATTATTATAAAAATAAATTAAGAAATACAGCAATATTTATAAAATTAAAATTATTTAAGTAATATCTCATGCATTTCATGTTCTCACAATTGATATGATATGATAAATAAATCACACCTATAGATCATTAATAACAAAGGAGATCAACGACTAAGGAAACAAAGCATATTCTTTCATACATATACAAAAATAATTAATAAATCAAAATATGAGATTAGTCGATTCTTGATCAAATTAATGCATTCTAAAAATGTACTGTTTGACGTGTAAAATTTGTGACATGTACATATTTTTGTAAGAAATTACAAATAATCACAAATATATTTTAAATAATGAATCGACTTATCTCCATAAAGCACAACTTTAATAAATAAAAAGGTAAAAGAGATAATAATAAAAACGCAGAGATCTTGCAGGTTCTTTTGGATGAAAAAACAAAAGGACGGAAATTGTTTGCAATTTTAAATTCTTAAAACTCAAGAGCATTCCAAATGAAAGTGAGCTTTGTAATTTGTCTCTATGCAGGCCACAGGACGAACCTGGAGTGACTGGCCGAGTAGTTGTGAACGTTTTTCCAACTCGTAAACCTGCAATCTCAGATCCGAGTTTCGCTCGCGCAGCTCATATCTTTCTCTCTCTTTCTCCTCTGCAAGATATTTTGCGTTCAAAATACACATTGTATTTTTTTGTGCTCTATCGTGGACGATCGACCAAAAAGTTCTTCTTAATTGCAAATTCTTCGGCCGTATATGAGAAGCCGGTCTCAGACGCGAGCACTTCTTCCGGCAGGCTGCCTCTCTCGTTTCTTTATTCAATGCGTGCGTGCATACGCTCAATTAAGTCTGCGACAACGCTGCGATACCTCGTTGTATGTTAAATCTAGAAGTTATGGACTCATGTTATAAAAATTCCTGTGTTTATTTAAAATAATGTGCTTGCGCCGGTCCTTTGCGATTTTATTTTAAGCAAGTTTTTGTACTGCTTTGCATCTTGTCATTACTTTTACAATCCATCAATTGAAAAGGCAGCAAAAAATTGTCGATTTTCTTCACGATTAAAAACTATCAATGATTCCCGGCCGAGTTACTGCCGCAACTGAGAAAACCTACCGCGACTGCTAAACTGACATTGAAAGAACAAGAACTTTTTGTCAATCACACGCTTAGCGCTTTTCTTGGAAGAGGATTTCCTCTTTCGTGAATTCGAAAATTTTTTACCAAATTTTTCGTTCTTTTTATAGCGCGGAAGTTTGTTCTCTGGTTCTGCTTGTCTCTTAATCTCCGCGTCTTTTATGATGCCGTCTTCCCCATCCGTTATTAATGCACATCTTGGGCAGGTCTTGATTGGAACCATTACTCGAGTATGACATGAGACGTGATAGGTACTTGAGCAATTTCTGCATACTGATAATGAATCTACAAAGAATGATGAAATTGTTACATGTTTATGTTTAATCGTTACGTTTGTGATAAAGTTGTTAAAAAAGATAACAGGATATAATCTAACAGGATGTCTACTCAAATTTTGTAAAAAATTTCCCTAGGAATTCCCTGATAAAAATAAAAATATAAAACAAAAATATAAAAAGTAATTAATAATAAATGTCTTCAGGAAATACTAATTTTTATTTAAATTATTTATTAATGTATTATTTAATTATTTATTACATAAATAAGTAGCACAATTTATTTAAATATTATCTATTAATAATTTGAATAATTGTCTATGAAATTTATAATTTATATATCTTGATACTAAAAATATATTGTCAATGAAAAAAAATCACATAAAATTTTAATAAAAACTTAAATATCACCAAGATATATTAGACATATGTTTCTTAAATGCCAAATAAAAATAAAATTAACAAAAGGATAAATTTTTTTACAAAATTTCCTGAATTCAAATCAAATTCCGTTAGAATTCTGATTTTTTAAAGTTGAACAAAGTTTCCTGAGAATACTTCAGCGAGTACATCTTGTCTAAGATATAAATGGTATATTTTTACTCACCTGGATTTCTACAACAAATACAAATGCCATGTTCCCTCCCGATTCTTTCGATGGTCAAGCTAGATGGTAATCCAGCAATATGAACAGCCTTATTGCTTATCGGCTGAACAGATTTGGCACTAGATATAGATCGCATTTGGTTGTCTTCTATCTTATTTTTGTTCACAAAAACTTTACTGTCTGCGTTTCTGAGAATATTTGGCCTGGTGGTGGATTTTTGAACTGGAATCAGTGACTTCGACGTTACCGTTTGTACCGGTGGCGAGGTAGATTTGGCTGGCTGAGTTTTGTTAGGTGGTGGCGACGGACCGTTCATGCGAGCAGTCGTTTGCCGAGTGTGAGGCGCATTTTCCGATGGCAAGTATGGACATAATCTCCTCCGCTTCTAAAAAATAAATGTATCAAACTATCAATTATCAAATATCTCTAATACAATATCAAATAATATATGAGAAATTAATTCCCATGGCTATTTTAATACTTAACAGTTTATTTATAGTGTAGAATGCTTTTGCACTATTATCTTTACACATATGCTACTCTCTGTATCAAAACAAGAGAAGGAAAGAGAGAAAATACTCGAATAACAAAAGTATTGATATACTTACAGACGGTTGTTGGCTAAAGGTAGTATATACATAATGCGGGTTTGCCGTGCTACGACGCTTCCTTTCCACTCTTCTGTTTTGAAGTTCTGCACATCTTTCCTGAGTAATAAGCCCAAGGCAACTGAGGAAGTTCTCTTTTCCGTTGATTCAATTTTGTGTTCTTTTTGCTTCTCTTCCTCTTGCTTCTCATCGGAATTTTCGTCCATCAACACCGCAACGACGTCGTCTTCACCAGAGATAGTTTCCACTGAGCTAGGACTAGGTAATCTGTAAAGAAATGTCCAGATGAAAAAATTTCAAAATCTTTGTTAAACACATTTTAACGCAATAGATACTTTTTTTCTTACTTTTAATTAATTTTTCAATAAACTTACTTTACGCAATCGTTATCTTGCGTCGGTGAATGATGAACATCGCCATTTCTGACAACTTCTTCATAGTCCTCCTTTGAAGGTTCAAAACCATTGGCGGCCGTTTCATGCTTCGTCTCGTTGTTATTCGTAATATGATTGTTATTCAGGCCCAAGAGAGCCGCTATGGAAACTTTTAATACATTTGCGTTGTCTGCCTCGAACGCTTCTATCTCTGTGCGCAGCCGCTGCAAGACTTGATTCTGTATATTAACAACAAGATATATATAGCACATATTTATCGGTAATTATAAAAAAGAAGAAAAAATCTTTAGTAAGTTTCTTTAGAAGCAACAAAAAAATTAACGTATTTATTAATTTATAGAAAACATAACGCTCACATGTACAAATTATTCCAATTAACGCTTACAACTTTATATAAATACAAATATTGTATAACAAAAAATATGTACATACGATAACATGCGATAATATAGAACACTAACACAGTTATGAGGTTGAAGTTACGAAACAAAATACGCGTTTACCCCATGCTCGAAAGTTAGAAAGTTTCTGCTACTTTTAAAGTAAAAGTAAGGAATAGATAATCGTTGCAAAAAAATGTGGCTTATAAGCACGAATGAATGAGAAAAGCTACGAGAGCAGAAAGTTGAGAAGAGATGTAAACGGATGAGGAAGACGCCGAGATTTTGTAAAGAGCCGAAAACGTTTTCGCGGGGCATTTTATTGATTTTAAACCCCTCCGTCTCTGCCTCCCGGCTTTTCTTTCGCTCTAAGTTGCTCTCGCTTCTTCTTTCTGTGAATTGTCGTCTCCTCTCTCCTCTCCCTCATCCGCATCGCGTCTTCTCATTCTCGCAGCCTATTACATATTATCTATCTGTACTCGTTGCGTTTTAACTATTTATCTTGCTCGTTATCAGTATCACTGAAGGAAAAAGAGTGTTTCAAACTGAACAAAAGGGATGGTCAAGTACTAAAAAAAAAGACCGATAAATGCAATTTAAAATTTTATAACTATTGTCAAAATTTATTTTATTTTTTTTATTGAAGAATTTTGTAACTTGGCATGGTATCACTATATATACGATGCATAATCGATCTACGGTATTTTGTCATTACATCTTGCCACGCGAATAATATCATATTTGCAGCAATAAGAGTTACTTTGCAAGAGTTAAGTAAGACACGTTAAAGTTTGCGCTATGTAATAGACACTGGATCAATAATAATGTTTATCTGATAATGTAATTTGATGAACACTTACATAGAATTATAATTTTTCTTTGATATTTTCTAACTAATATAATAAAAAAGTCTTTAAATTGTAATTTTCTGTAATTTGTATTATTATAAATCAATTTTGGAACCATCACCATATGTATGTGTGTTCAAAGTTCAGAGTTACACACAGTTGAGTCGTCAAGAGATTGTTCGCAGAGTTAAAAACTCTCTTGATGAGAATTTGAAAAAAGATGATACATGAACATACATTGCGTCATATTTTACATGCATGCGATATGGAAAACAATCAATTGTCCGCTTACCTGGCATTTCCCCAAAGAATAAATGTACACCTGAATCCTTTTCATCTGACCGAGAATGTCTGGGTTCTGTAACAAAGCGCATCACATCAGTCTGAATAAACTCCAAGAAAAACTACATAATCGTTAGAATTAGGTCAACTTGTACGCATTGAAATCTTTGTGGAGTAATTATATTACAGAATATTATTGTTGCATTTATGCATAACTCATGATATTGACAGCGCGAAACAAAGGCTAAATATACTTTGATTTATAAACGTTATTTAGAAATTACAAGGGAAACTAACATTGTATGCGATATGTTAAGAATTATTTTACATAAAAATTTGGTAAGTTTCTTTTTATATAAAGGTAATTTAAAATTATAAGAGAAATTAATGAACTTCGCGTAATACGTTAAGGATTATTTTACAGAAAAATATCATATATTACATATGTGATCTGTATCTCATTATAATAAGCATATATGAACCTAAATAGAAAAGTTTCCTTTGATGTATACGTGTCCTTTGCTAGTTGCCGCGAAAACGAAGGTGAAACAAGATGAAACGTTTGGCCGAAGTTTGTTCCACGTAACTTATGGAATTTCCAAATGCACATAGTCTCCTCCGAAATCTCGTTATTGTCTATTGTCTGAATCTTACATGCGCAATAAATTTTATCGAGACGTAAACTTATATAAAACGGCAAAATTATTTAAAAACCATCGTATAAACTTACATTCGGATCAGTTTCCAATTTGTTCATCTCCATCTGAAATTAACGAAAAAAAAGCACAATTAGTATCGAGCTAAAAAAAAGTAAATGATACACATATTTTACAGAATCTTATATGCATCATATGCAGCGGGGATCGAACGAGATAAATCCAGGGTGTATCTAAGAAAACCTTTAGCGTACATGACTAACTGGAGCATGATGCGCCATATTACGCCATTACGTTCCCCCTCCCCACATACAACCCCATTAATACCTCCATTAATTAATCAAGATGCAAATTCGAATTTTGTACTTAACATCTCGTCGACTTACGTTCGGAATTTACATTTAATTTTATCCCCGTTTGGGAAATCAATCACATATTATCGAAATATTGAATACATATAATTACGTATTCGTAGTTAATCACTCTGATATTAAATCGCAGTAATTACGATTATAATTTGACGAGAAAGGAACGGAGTTGCGAGAGTAATTTTTCAACAGAAGAGAGAGAAACGCCGGTCTATGAAATTTCAATTATTTGGCGCAGAAGAAAGAGCCGAGACTGTAATCTTTTTATCGCGCGCGTAATTATCGATAAACAATTTTGCAAGCAACTCGGCGGGACTTATTTCGCTGGCAACTCTTGAATGAAGAATTAATAATCAAAGCGGGGTGTATATATACGTAAATACCCGCGGCACGTGTCAAAGTAAAAGAGAATGACCTCGTCAACATTTTCGCAGTAAAAGTCAATCAAGCGTGACTCGACGACTCTCTGGGAAGCTTCTCGGCGCAAGTATCGACTGCACCTGTCCCCCTCCAACAAAATAAGCCAACTTTGGTTACATAAATCGCGTTCAACTATTACGAAACGATGGCACAACTATTGTTTCGACTCGCTGTATAATTTATAGAATTTATAGAATCTTATCCGTTCGCGTAAGAGTCGAAAATCGAGAAAGTCGTAGGACGAAAAGTTCAGAAGAATAAAAGAAACTGTGTCGTCTATCGATATTCGTCTTATTAGTATATCGATCTGTCGCCTGTATTGATTGCCAATTGCTAATTTCCATGTAACCACACGTATATATTCGTACCTATCATACTTATGCATGTCGGCGAGAAAATTCTTTTCGGCCTCGTGGAAAAGCGATGAAAAGTATGTCGCATAATTCAGGAAGTATCGATTGTCCGTCGAGGACGTCGCTCGCGAGTTTGAGGTGACCGTTTAATTGAATGCGCAAACTTTGAGGCGCCGTCGCATTTAATAAGCATTTGATTGTCACAGAAATCAATTTTCGGAGATTCCTATTGAAAGATCGGCATCGCACGACGATGTGCATTAACGTGCGTAAATAAATAAAACGTCTCTTTGCGAGGGATAATTTTCTTAGACCACAGACTGCGACGTAAAGAGTATTTTCTGTAGCATCGATATGATATATATATATATATATATATATATATATATATATTTATATATATACACATATATATATATATTACAAAGATGGAGGCGTACGACACTAGAGAGAAGACGAGCAACTTTCGACGTCGCTTTTGTAAAGACAAATGGAACAATCAACAAGTTTTCGGGGACGGGCCGGAGATTGTTGCTCCCGCGAAACGTCATTAACTCGATTCCCGACGAATCTGTCGACTTTGAGAAGCCGTTTGCGATGAACGAGAAAACGTACGCGCGAAAATGCACGCGCGTAAAGCGAGAAAGAAAGAACAGAGAGAGAGAAAGAGGGCGCGCGCGGTGACGCCTCGAGTAGAAAAGGAGCAAATATGGTTAGCCATAAATGAAACTTTCGACACAAAGAATAAAGCGAGAAAAAGAGAGACTCGTTGCCCTTCGCGTCGTATAAATAATACCGAAATCGTGCAATCTTTTTCTCTCTCTCTCTCTCTCTCGCGCGCGCGCGCGCTTAAATTATCCGTAGAAGACGCCTGACGGATCTATCGTTCGAGTTTTCTCGAACGATCGATCTATCGCATCAGCCGGAAAAATTTACTGGAAGAGCGGGGAGGGGGCAACCGGCCCGTCGTCGACGACGTTTTCGGTCGATCGCGAATCTCGCGTGAAAAGAAAAACGAAAAAGGAAAACGAATTCCCTCTCCTCGACGGATTCTCAGATTCCAAGAACCTCGTCGTAGAGGCTTCTCTCGCATCGTGCACCTTCTTTCCCCCCCCCCCTCTTAACCCCCTTAACGCGGGTCTGTCTCTCGATCACTATCGACACACACATATGTACATATAAATATATATATATATATATATATATTATTCTTTTTACCTGATGCTCGACTATCGCGTCCTGCAATTTGAGTTGCACCCGGACGATCTCTTCCGTCAGGCTCTTTGATATCTCCATGCTTTCCCGGCAGGTGGTCAACTTCGCAGTCTCTTGTCTCCTCTCGGGAAAATATATCAGCGACAACCCCGAGGATGTAGATATAATCCCCGAATGTCCGATACTTCTGTATCGAAGGCGCGGGAGCGAACGAGGACGCGGCGAGAGACTCCCTCTCTTCTCCGTACGACGAATTGACTCCGACAACGTGCGATGACCGACGATGACCGACCGGGACAAACGGTGGCGGCGAGGCGCGTCTCGTCCCGTCCGTCTCGTCCGCTCCAAACTTCGGCCGTTTCGTCTCTGCGGAGCTGTGCGGTGCCGAGCGAGATTGCGCTCCGCAAACGCGCCACGATATACGTGTGTGTGCGCGCACGCGTGTGTGTGCGTGCCTCTCTCTCTCTCTCTCTTTCTTTCACTCGCGCTTCTTCTTCTCTCTCTCTCCCCCCTCCTCGCGCACACGCTGTCTCTTCTTCTCTCTCTCTCTCTCTCTCTCTCTCCTCTTCGCACGAGAGAAGCCGAGAGGGTTATTCCTTTGCACACTTCCCGGTCCGGTCGCGACGAGCTACGTCGGCGTACAGGTCGTCGCGCACAAAAAAAAAGTACTATGTCTCTCGCTCGTCGTTGACGACGACGCGAGCGTTTTGCGCTGCCATCGGCACGCTGCGCTGGCCCTCGCTCAAATGCGCACGGCCGTATCAACTCGAGCACGCGCGAGCGCCCCTCCTCGTCCTTTCTTTCCCCCGCTTCTTCCTTCTTATTCCCTACGTACCTCTCCTCTCGGTCCGGCACCCTTCGTTGCCGTTGACGACGATCGACTGATTGTGAGGGAAACGCCGAGTTTTCCCGCGCAAAGCGGCCGGGACTCGATATTCAACTCGCAAAGTTCCGCAATCTCTGTCTCTCTCTCTTTCTCGATTCCCCTTCCTAGTCCATCCTTTCGCTAACTATTTCTCGAGACAAAGGCAAATTACTTGGATGAATTTGCCTTCAAGTGGATGATCGCGCGACGAGACACTGGCCGCGAGTGATTGGCTGTTGCGCCTGCAATGCTGCGTTTCTATTGGCTGACGCGAGTGTGGTAGCACCAATATGGCGTATTCAAAATTTATGCATATATGCAAAATTGATTAATAATGAGGTATAACTAGTTTATAATACATGAAACAAATTTAGATTGTTTAGGTAAAATATAAAATGACATTGTATATACAAATCTTATTACATTTTATATATTGCTAAATTTTAATATTAAAAAATAATAAATATGAAAAGCCCGTATTCATAGACCGATCTTATATTTATGTAAGATCGTCTAAAATCCGATGGGAGGTTGACTTGAGATCCCGTTCAATCAATCAAATGGCTGCGTAGCGTCTTAAGCTCGGATTTATAAAGACGATCTTAAATATAAGATTGGACTATGAATACAAGCCATAAACAGTTATAAATAAATATGAATTTTAACTTTTGATCGATATTGTGAAATAATATAAAATTTCATGCTGCTGAATATAAAATTGAAGTAAACTTAAATAGGACGTTGCTGCACGTCTTTTATATATATATATATATATATAAATTTATAGATACCCATACAGCACAGATTATTGCAATTATATTGCAGCAACGTTGCAATGTTGCAAGTTGCAATGCAACATTATAAAGACATTGCAGAGATATAGGTGCACAAAATTCCAGCACACTTGTAGCAACATGACATTAATATTTCGGAAATATTGCATGTAATCCAAATTCTATAATTTATATATTGTAATATATATAAATTAATTACAACGTATTTTCATTAATGATTTATTTACATTTATATACCTGTATATGCAACATTAGTTTATGGTTGCAATAACAATGCATTATTGCAAATTCATAACATTGCAATATTGTTGTAATATTTTGTTGCAATCTTCCAAAAAGCGGACATTTTAACATTGCTGCAATTCAACAGCAATGATGTAGCAACATTTTGCAGTGAATTTGCAATATTGCAATATTGCGGTGAAAGATTGTTGTAATGTTTTTGCAATCTATCGGTGCTGTATGGGTACGCTTTCTTATTGCCTTTTATAAAGAAATAGCCTTCGCAGTATAATACCCATTGTTTAAAAATTAACCAAAGCGGAATTTTTTCAAAAGCATTATTAGGAAACATAGGTATATATATATATATATATATATATATTCCTTCGAAAAATGGTTAAACACTGCATATATACCTGCTATATATATATATACTTTTGTTTGATTTCATTCACAATAGTTTTAAACGTCGACTTTGAAATACCGACACTCATACAATTTTTTTGTCTCGCTTTCTCTTTTATTTCGGTTTCTTTATAACTGTATACGTACCTATAGTGATATTCATTGTCATTCTTGACAAGATTTATGGGTGAGTTTGCTACTTTTGAAAACGAATAGGAAATATAATATTATTTCTTAAAATTTCAATCAAGATTGTTTCTTTATTTAATTTAAAGATTATTTAGATAAAAAATTCTCAAAAGCAGCATATATATATTATATATTTATTTACATATATTGTTTTATATTTTTATATATATTATTTACATTACATATATATAAATGAAATATTAAATTGATTTTCTTATTGTCACACAATTTTATAATAATATATATATATATATATATATATATATATAACGAGAGAGAGAGAGAGAGAGAGAGAGAGAGAGAGAGAGAGCGAGAGAGAAATTTTATGTGGCATTAATTTTTTTTATTGTCGTAATAGAATTATTTTTAATATATATATATATGATAAATCTATAATACAAGTCGATTTCCTTTATTCTAAAATTCTAAACAATATTTCTTTGACAGGTTTATTTATCGGTTTCTCAAGCAACAGTCATGATACACGAATATCTAGATATGATGCGCGCGCCTTGAATGTGATAACAACAAAACAATTCTTGGTGCCGGGTGTGTATATGTATGTAACATATATATCTAATATTCAATATAATAAAATTTGTTTTATATATATTTCTAATTAGAAAAACACTCGCGACATAGATTATCTCTTATAAAATATTGATTTTTCTTGTTTCAAATGACATTCAAGGCCAGTGGAAAGAAGAAAGAATACAGAGAATATAGAGATGAAGAAAAATATAGAAAATGGAGTTAATAAAAACACTCATATATAAAATAGTAATATATCAGCTAATTGCTGTTTATTATCCTTTTTATCAACGCGGGTGAGATGAGAGAAAAGTTAATTTCGGCTAAATTCTATAAAGGTTAAAATATTGACAAGTTCGGAATAAATAAGTATGAATGAAAAAATTAAAAATACAATTAAGAGTTTATAATTTTTATTTCTATATTAAATTATGCTACTTTTCAAATATCCAACAGGCTTCTAGCGTGGACAAAGTGTTATTGATGTTAACAAATAAGCCACTTAACCTGATTTGAAGAAATGTTATACACGTCGTTTGCTGTCAAGTCATTTTATCGATAAGTAAAATGTTACTGATATCAGTGCGATGACACGTCTATGTCCACGTCCCGAATATACAAATATGTCTACGTGGTGTGATTAGTGGTATAATTAAACTAATTGCTGTTTCTGAGTATTTGTTAAATGATTGGTGTCGTTTTACTGAAAATTAAATATTTTTAATTATTCTCTAAAAGAAGAGAATCGTTTAATTTGTGCAATCATGTTGAAGGCTGTTATTTTAATCGGAGGTCCTTTGAAAGGTGTGTAATTACTTCAAAAGTTTACTTATTCAAAAATTGTAAAGTAATTAAAATCAGAAGAGAGATTTTTCAATAAAGAATTTTCAAAAACAATATGTATGTATATTTTTGAATTGCATAATTATATATATTTAATTAAAATTTTAATATATTTTTTTCTCTGAATTCATATTTTGCTCATATATTATTATTTATTAATTCTACTTTTATTTGTATAGGAACAAGGTTTAGACCTATATCTTTGGATATTCCAAAGCCATTGTTTCCAGTTGCTGGTTTACCCATGATACAACATCACATCGAAGCATGTGCCAAAGTACCCGATCTCAATGAAATACTGATAATTGGAGCGTATCCTAAGAATGATTTAGCTCAGTTTGTACAGGAGATGTCAAGCACCTATGGCATAATTATTAGATACCTGCAAGAATTCACTCCTCTTGGAACAGCAGGTGGCATGTATCATTTTCGTGATCAGATTCGTTCAGGTAGCCCAATGTACTTTTTCATCATGAACGGAGATGTCTGTGCTGATTTCCCTCTACTAGAAATGGTAGATTTTCATAAAAATAAACAGGCATTGCTCACAATCATGGCAACAGAAGCTACTCGACAGCAATCTTTAAATTATGGATGTATGGTCTTGGGCAAGGAGGGAGAAGTGGCACATTATGTTGAGAAGCCTTCAACATTTGTGTCGACTCTTATTAACTGTGGAGTATACTTTGCGTCTCTTGAAATCTTTCAAACAATGGCAGACGTCTTTCATGCTAACCAGCAACAAGAGCATATTATGTAAGTGTCTTATATATTTTGACTACAATAAGTAAGAATAATTGCGTATCTTTATTTCATATTTCGTTATGGGACTTATAGGCAATCATGCTGTAATGGTAGAGACCCAGCACACATTTCATTTGAGCAAGATATACTGACGCGTTTGGCAGGATCTGGGCGATTGTTCGCCTTGCCCGTATTTAGATGGTGGTCGCAAGTAAAAACTGCCGGTTCTGCAATATATGCCAATCGACATTATTTGGCCCTTTACAAGCAGAAACATCCAAACCGTCTAGCCTCTACGAGTAATGATTCTTGCAATATTATAGGAGATGTATATATTCATCCATCCGCTACTGTACATCCAACTTCTATTGTACGAAGAGAAATTATTAATCTTAAAAGTTTGATTTATATAAATTTAATCACACATATTAACATAAAATTTGTATTGTTTGCAGCTAGGTCCTAATGTGAGTATAGGTCCAAATACGACTGTTGGACCTGGTGTAAGAATCAGAGAGTCAATCGTATTAGCTACTGCACATATACAGGCCCATTCTCTGATTCTACACAGCATTATTGGAACAGGTACTAACGTAGGTGAATGGGCACGTGTTGAAGGGACTCCTTGCGATCCTAATCCTAACAAGCCATTTGCAAAAATGGAGAACTTGCCATTATTTAATGTAAATGGCAAACTTAATCCTTCCATCACAATACTTGGTAAGGACAAATTAAGTATTTTAAAACTATTCTTAATATTGATATAACTCTTGAATTTTTAGTTATATGTATATATTTTTGTTAGGTACCAGTGTAAGCTTGGCTGCAGAAAAATTTTTATTGAATTCAATTGTTCTGCCACATAAGGAACTTACGAGAAATTATAAGAATGAAATTATTCTTTAATCGCCTAATTTATCATTGTTTATAATGATGTTTATCATATTAATGATTATATACATATTAACACACGAATCGCACAAATTATAAAATGTTAAGTATATACAAAAATTTCTATAATTTTTTTGTTCATTAAATTACATTTATAAATTTTTAAAATAATTTTGCATACAAAATAGAATTATTGAAAAAAAAAGTTTTTATATGTATTATATACATGTTATATGTAGTAGTTATAAATTATATATGTATAAATGATGGCCAGGCACAAAATGTTTGCATTGTATAAAGGATTATATGTATACATATTTATCTAGATATATATAATATATATAAAGTTATTCTAAATCTATTTTTATAAATATATCTTATTATCAATAAATATTCATTTATTGATAAATATTTTTTTTCATTTAAAAATGATACATATGAATGCTTGTATACTCTAGAATCTCGCACGATGATTGTACAATTCCCAAAGTCGCGTTAGCGCTCGCATATCGAGGCAGGAGGAAGGATAATCGGAAAAAATCTCTGACGGAGAAGCGCGTTTGAGCCGCCTAAGGTGAGATTCGCTCTTGCGTTCCTCACCGGCGGCGCCAGGTGAGTCTACGAAAGGTGTGCACGAAGGTGCGAGCGAGCAAACGGATACAAGAGCGAAGAGGAAGGAACGAAGGAGCGTACGGTGTGCGCGTAAAATAGCCGCATTGAATTGCACCGTATCAACAGGTAGATCGGCGGCTCGGTATGCGTGGGACGACGTCGTAGACGACGCGACGTAGCGTTGAGGATTCGTCGCGGGATTTCTCGCGGAAGATGCGATGCGCGAGCCAGCGTCGCAAGGAAACCGCACGACGACGACGACGACGGCGACGAGTTTTAAAGGATCAGTCAATCGACAGAAGATCGGCAGAGGAGAGGATCGACGCTCCGGGTGGAAACGCGCGTTCTCTAAACGTGTTGCTCCGTGGTGGACGCGCACGGGCGGATTCCGCGCATACCAAAGCCGCTGATCCAGCTTCCCCGCGAGCGGCGCAGCCGCAGCGCGGCGGCGGGCGTCCGGATCGGGAGGAGAGTGATTTTTCTGATCGTCGCTCTCGTCAATGACACGCGCGGAATGCGCTGAGCGAGCGCGCGATTCCACGCGCCGACATTGTTGCGCGTACGTTGTTCCCGTAAAGCGCTGGCCTTTAAAAATCCGTCAGAACGCTTCCTGATGTGAGTGTATAATACGCGAGTGTAGTGTGTATTTTTGAATGCGGCGCAGGACAGAGAGAGAGAGAGAGAGAGAGAGAGAGAGAGAGAGAGAGAGAGAGAGAGAGAGAGAGAGAAAGCGGAGAGTTAGTTTGAGATCTTTGGATGGCATTTTATACATAACGGATAAATAAATCTGCGTGTAATGCTGAAGAGAACATTACCGCTTCTCCTTATAATCCTCTTTTAAAAGTCTATTCATCATTTTCTATCATGTTTCAATAATGAAATATTCAGAACTTTTTATTTTTATATTTTGTTAAATTACATGAAATTTTTATATGTTTATATATTAATTTTTTTAAATATATAGTATTTAAAATATTAAAAATATACATATATATAATATATTCTATTACAATTTTAAGAAATAGAGTGAATATGAAAAGATAAAAATGTAATTACATTCTTGATTGAATTCTATTTTATGGCTGAGGAATCAATTTTTAAAATAAATTTTTAAATTTTATATACATAAACATTTAAAAAGAATTTTATTGCTTTTTAATTGTTTTCTTTTGTCTATTATTCTATGAATATAGATATCTTTAATAATAATGTCTCAGAAATATAATGCTCTTGTTGCACAATTTATAATATTTATATATTTATTTTTACAGAGAGGAGAGACCATGATTGATTGATGAAAATAAAATAAATTATTGTTAAATATTCCAAATGGGTAATAAAAGCCCATTATGGCCCAGTGTCATCAACCACAACATCAGCATGAATTTTTGCCTCTGTGTGATGTACTGTTTAATATTATTTCATTAGCATCTTATTTCTGCGATGTTGTCTTCGACTTTGCAATGGTATATGCCCTTGCCCATCAAACAATAGCACCACCTGTGTTGTTTCCACTGAGTATTACGTTTATAGCTACTTCTCTCTTGATTTCTCAAGTTAGTATCTATGAACAAATAAAAATATTCTACACTATCTTTATTTTACTTAATATTTTATTGTTATCTTTGTATTATTTTTGCAGATTGTTAGTTTGCGATGGTATCTCTGGGGAGCTAGGGGCAAATTAACAAATAACAATGCATCAAGTGATTACCATGCAAATTCAACAAATAAGATTGGCAATTGGACTATAGGCTGTGTTCTATTACTCCATTCTACTCAAGTCGGTGTACTATGGAGATATTTCAAGTTATTTATACCGGTCAATTTAACTTATGTGAAGCACGAGGTACATATGTATTTTTATTACGAAGGAGTTCTGATTCGAGAGAGTAAATTTACCGATTTCTTATACGAGTTTCATTGTTCTAGGTGCGGGAGCTGTGTGTACTAAGGTTGATACACGCGTTCTGTGAGGCCGCTCCAATGTTACTTCTGCAACTGTACGTCTTCTTCGGCGCTACCAACGATGATGAAACAGAAGTTGGGAAACCAAAGGGAAGCGAGAGCAAGGACGACAGTAAATTAGCGAAGCTAACATTAGTGTCGGCGGGACTATCCTTATGGAGCGTGTGCTGGGCAGTGGCCAGCTTTAGCAAGGGTGCCGCGCGACTACGTAATCTGGAACGTTTAGTGCTAACATGGTTGGGAGTTCTGGCGCAATTATTCTGGCGTCTGAGTACAGTGAGCGCTCGTGTCGGAGTACTAGTCACGTACGCCTCGCTGTACGGCGGACAATGGTTGTTAATCGTGATGGCCCTGCACTGGTTAACAATGTTGACCTGGTTACTGCTCACGCCAGACGGACTCTTCCATGGTGGCGAACGTCTTCCCCTTCTTAGAAAGACTTTCCTCGCTTCTCTCCTCGCTTTTGTATATATATTCGCATATGTTAATCTACACGAGACGAATCATCGTCAAAAAATGGTTAGTTAAATGGAAACAGATGAATCACATCTAGAAAAATGCAAACAATTTTACAAGACAGTTTATATTATGTTGATATTAACTTGACTTATATATTTTTCTGCAGGTGATATTTTATACTGTAATGTTCTTGGAGAATAGTTTACTCATTGGCGTATGGATGGTCGGTGTTAATCGCGCTGATCTTTTAACTCGCCAACATCATCTACAACCAGTTACTTTAGTACTTGTTCTTCTAGTTTTATTTTTGGGCGGCATATTTTTCATGGGTCTTTATTATAGGTATTTATCAATACTATAGTATTTAATTAATTTATTATAAATATTGATGCTCTTGTATCATACTCGTCTTTTTCTGTTATAGATTTTTCACGTGAGAAGGTTGAGGTACGAGTCTGGTGGAAGGATGACTGGTTCGAATCTCACTACGCTGTCCAATCAGGTATATAATGCAAGATTTTTTTTCCTGGAAAGATTGTTATTTAATTTTTAAACTTTCAGGACAATGTGGAAGGGAAGCATATAGATTATAATGAGGACAAAAAGGTCAACATTAATATCAGCATGAGAAAAGTCAAATTAAGCAATGGCGGTATACCAGGTGTCTTTAACTGCCGTTTCGCGAACCCAACGGCTGTAAATCCGAATCGCAAAAAGAAGAAACCGACCACTTTTGTGCCGCCGCCACCGCCGCAATCGCAAACAGGCACAGTAATGAATTCCATAACGACGGTGGCAGATTCGAAACAGTGGCTTAACGTGGCTAATGGATCGCGGCAGTTAATTCCGTTCTGGAAAAAGCCTATATCTTCCAACATCATACAGGTACAAACAAATACTTGTCTATTCGCTAATCATATTTATTACAATGCGACTGTTATAATGCAAATCTCTCGACAGAACGAGAATTCCAATGAACGTAAAGATGAGACTGATATGTCACTCGGTGGTTCGTTAAATGTCACGTTAATACGGGAAAAACTAAAGGAGAAAAGCAACAGCAGCTACGCGAATTGCGAGCCATACAGGAGGAGATCAAGGAAGGTAAATTATTTCCACCTCCATCTGCTTCTACATCCTCTTTCTCATCCTCTCCTTCCGCGTCTAATCAGCAACCGCCACCGAACACGAAACTGCATACATCCCCGAGTTCTCCATTATTTACGTCTCCACCATCATTTTCCGAACAAAATGGTACATTGTCATCTTGGCCATCTGTTAAAATGCACTATCTTTTACCTCCGCCACCTTCTTCTTCGTACTATCCTAATCCGCATTCCTCGAATTCATGGAGAGCAGTGCCTCAACGAGAACGAGCAGATACACCGGAGATATTACTAGCACCGCGATGTCTTCCACATCACTATTCTCATTGGTCTCCATCTGGACATCTTAGTCATAGGTAATGAAAGATTCATCGAATGCGTCGAATGTATACACATTCAAATATATTGATTAATTTATTTATTTCGTCACAGATTACACGCAAATCAAAACGGTACCGAAGAAAGTCCCAAGGGCGAGGGTGAAGGAGAGGCGGAGGTTAGCGATATGGAGGGTAGCCAAGTCTCGTTACCTAGAAGTTACACACTTCCTCGTGAATTTAAATATAATCATCCCAACAGCGTCGCGAGAGAACGAGAGCGTCGCTCGGGAAATAATAAATTGCCACCTTCGCGCTTTTATTTACCGTCTACTAATAGTTCTGACGGTAAATATGCATTTTGCTTATTGTAGTTATATTGTTTCATGTTATATCGCATAGAAATTGTAAACATTTACAATTTAAATTAGTTTATTGTAGATTATATTTTTATTAATACTGATAATGATACTTCCAGGCGATGTAGATAGTGCAGATAACGAAGACGAGACAGATTCTGAAGCGCAAATCCAAACAAAGACCAATCACAGTCATAATCACAGCAAAGCTTTGCAAAGGTGTCATCTATATGAAAATAATGAGAATGACGACGTTGCGGATCCTAGTCTGGAATGCGACGCGTCTAATGTTACGTCCAACAATTGTTATTCAAATAATTCCCATAGTGTCTTTAGACCGAGTCAATTACTCAGAACACGAGTGAAACATGAAACAAAACTTTAAGTTATATTATAATGTATAATTGTAAATTTTGTCATGACATGCACATTCAGTGATTGCAAATCTTTTTAAAAGTAATTCTTTCCTATTAAATATTAACAATATAAAACTGTTAATTCCGCGAAATAATGGTATATTTAATTGTACAGAATATATAATGCACATATCAATACAGATGCACAAGAATATATTTAAAGAGATGTTCTTTGTCACAGAATATTAATGTGCATTACTTGCAATATGATATAATTTAATTTAATATTGTTATTCTATTGTGATGTTTTGCATAAAATTGTACAAGTGCGGCATCACGATATAAATCTAATATTTTTAAATACATTTTAGAAAAGAACAAATAGTGAACGAGTAATAAGTGCCTTATTATGAAAATTAACATATATTAACATATATGTATATGACGAATGTTTTATATAACATATAAAGTTACCTGAATATACTTACAAGAAATCGTACACTCTTTATTCATATACGTATAAAAAGACAATAAATTAATAATATCGAGTTTAAGGTATTACACTATTTAAAGAGATATATTCATATTTTGTACATTTATATTTCTAAATATACAATCTTCTTTTTATATTGTTTTTGCATCTTCTCTTTAAAATATAATTTTCTAATATATATGTAATATTTTGTATAATAAGAGTTAAATAAACTATATATTATCGCATTAAAGATCGATACGTCGCAATGCTTGAAAAAATAATCACTTATTCAATATTATTAAACGCGTAATAAATTTTATAGTTTCATTATCGTTTAATTAATGTATTGCAGTCAAATTTCTATGGTATTTTAAAGCATTTTTAAATAATATATATTCGTAAACTATGAATATATATTACACGAATTATATATATATATATATATATATATATATATATATATTTAATGATACTTATTATTATGTCAAATAATAGTAAAATGTTTAAATGCGCATTCGGACTTTTATTCATGCGCATTAACGTTTTTAAATTGCACATAAAGACCATCAGCTGCATACGTAAATACGTGAATAGCATCATTGCCATTTGAGCTAATCTTTTTGTCCGTTTTATAGCAAAGAATATAATTTGAAAGAATTCTGATCAACGCCACTTTCATCATTAGCAGGGCCAATCTCTGTCCTGAAATTTTAAAACATTGTGTAAACTTATTATATCCATTTATGATATACATACATATGTATATAAAATAAAAAAATTTATCTGACAATATTTTTGTAACTGACCTATACATGATCTGGGTCCGATGCCGAATCCTAAAGATTCATAAAATTTTTATTTGGTTCTGTCTCTGGTCTTAACGGAACAAAGTCGTGCGGATTCAGAAAATATTTAGGATCTTGATTCGTTGCATTTACAGATACGTATACCGAGCAATCCTTTTCAATAATTAACCCAGTGTCTAGTAACTACAGAAATGAGAATACACATAATAATTAAATTGAGGAATAATTATAGCGCGTAATGAACCTGTTCAGTTATTCATAAGATTGCGTTGATCACCTCGTAATCTTTTGTAGCTATTCTGTCAACGATGGGTAGAGGAGGATGTAATCTCAGCGATTCGAATATAACGCAATCCAAAAACACATTTCATTAATTAAGTCCACCGTTAATTATTTTTCCATTAGGTGTGTTTGTATCTCGTCGTACAAAGTAGCTTGATGCTCCGGATGACGAGCTAAATAATACAGGGTGAATGCGATCACGTTCGAAACTGCTTCAAATCCAGCAACGTATAAACTGGACACCTGTGCCACTAAATTGTCGCCCTCAAATTCTATGATAAATATCACCGAGCAATAATATTAATTTTTAATTAAGAATATATTTTTCTCTGCTTTCTCTCTATTTCTCTTTTAATACATATATACGGAGAATTGTATTGAATTTTATGATATTAATATATCGTTGTATTATGTGTACATTATATAAGTTCTATATGCTAATTAAATGCTCAAATTATTTTATAGACAGAAGTGAATAATAATCCTTACTGTAAAGAGGGTTCTGTTCTCCATTCTTAAGCTTCAACATAGCATCCATTAAATCTCTTCTTTTATATCTCATTTTTTCTCTGGTGTTCATAGAATCCCAGAAAATTTCGCGAAAATAGTTCGCAAATTCTTTATTAAATGGTCCAATTAGAGGAAACCATTCAGGAATGAAGAAGACGATAATAAACAGTATGCCACGCTTAATGCCTTTGAAGATATTTATACCTGTATATATAAAGTACTAATCAGTGTGTAATATTTATATATTTATAATCTTACATACAGTGAGAAAATGTATAATTTATAGAAACAATTTAACACATTAGATATTATAATTTTTTACATGTTTTGCACAGATAACAAAGATAAGAACTCTGTGTCATATTAAAATCATTAATTTCAGTGAAGTAATCAAATTACGTTAATCTTATATATATTAATGATTAACTTCTCGTTAAGTTTTACCCAACAGGTAGCATTTTTTCGTCTCTTTCAGATAAGTTATAAAAAAGAGACCAAGATATAGCTACCTGTCAGGTAAGACTTATCAAGAAGTTGGAACAATTGATCCTAAATAGCTGACTATAAATTACTATAAAATCTCACCATTTTTCCAGAAAGCATTCTCCATTTCGTCAAATGAATTTGTGCTGATACCAAACGCAATAGAGGCGATAACATCGCTAACGTAACGACTACTGAAATCTTTCATTTCGTAATTATTCTGGCCAGACTTCGATAAGTTCTCGATGAATCTCAACATAGGCTTTCCACATTCTTCTATAAGCGGTAACATATTCTTCAGTTTCTGCCCCGTCAAGAAAGGCGTCAATTTGCTTCTTAAATATTTCCACCTAGGCTGCTTAATAGACAGAATGCTGTCTAGGCCAATCGCATCCCTCTGGTTTCCTGACCCAAAACGTCGATTTGGAAAGACCTCAAAGTCAGTGATCATCACCTGTTTGATCAAATTGTGATCCCGCAGAAGCAGCATGGGCTTGTGAAAGATGTAGAAACCAATGTAGGGATCGTCTGGATCGGCACTGTTGTAGATCTCGCGCATCACTTCACTTGGTGGTTTTTTCAAGGTGAGACAGTCCTTGAAATTACCAAAGAGCAGGTGAGTCGGAGGAGTTTTAATACCACGTCTGCTCCAATAAGATAGCTTGTATTTGACGTATACGTAGAAGAGACTAAGGCATATTATCAGCGCCATTGTGCAGTAGATCAAGTAGCTCATGTTGATTGAATCACGTCACGATATATTCGTTGATCTATGTATTGCTGACCCTTTTTTGCAATTTTGTTAAATGATTTAGAGGATCAATGCACACACACAAAATTAATAAGTGACGTTAATTAAAGTGACAATACACTAAGCATTTATTTTATGCACTTATAAATGCGGAACATGCAATAAGTGATAAAATATTGATAGAAAAATCGCTCAGCTAACGCGCACTGATGCCCGGACAAAAGTCGACCAAGGCCAGACGTTTTAAACAAGATGAAAGGCAGAGAAAGTTGAATTTATTGAAAAAACTGCGTATATCGATGTTTTGAGTTAGTTGATTGTCACTGACAAAAATAAGTAAGAGTAAGACGAGCGGGACATATAAGTAAAAACGCGTAAACACGAGGGAGATCACGCATATCGAAGATGCAATGATTTCGGTGTAAGCTATATTTACACATCAAGAGAGACAGAAATTACAATACGAGAATATAAGTATTTCGTTACAAAGGAAATTAAATTCATCGCTTAATCAAACGCAATTTAAGAAAGAGAATAATTGATTAAAATAAAATGTCTTAATTAAGGAAAGAGAATGATGATAATAGGAATAATGATATTATATATAAGATGTATACATAATTTGAATTAAGTATTAACAAATTCTGAATTTAATATCTGTCGAATTTAATATCTGAGAAAGGATGATTTATTTTTTATTTATTTATATTTTTATATGATTTATTTTGCACACACACACACACACAATCAGATTTATTTAAAATAAAAAATAGATTTCAATAACTTATCGAAAGATGCTCAGAGTATTTTAGATTAGCGGATTTTTTCTTTCTCTATCATTGATTAATAACACTTGAACTAATCAAAATCCTAATAGATTCAATCAATAGTTTGAGTTTCTATATGATATAAAAAATAAATGTATTTTTATTTTATTGCATATTTGTACCGGAGATACAGAGATGATATTGCGATGCAAAGTTTTTATGTAAACATTTTTTTATTAAAAGAAGAATATAGAAATGTATTTTTCAAGTATCCAGCCAAGATAATGATTCAGTAACATTTACGCATAAAAAACGTTCTTATAAATTTCTGCAACATAATATTTATGCAAATATCGATCTTTTTATCTCATATAGATTTATAATCAATATGCGTTACATAATTTCTGTGTACTAAATAAATCTTCAAGATTGTGCAGATGTAATACAATGCAAGGAATTGTCCATGGAAAGTGTGATGGAAAAAATGATTGTATTTTAATATCAAATTCAAAACATACTATCTACATGAATAATTGTTGTGCTAAATAAATTATATGCAATGATCTTATTATATACCTTTTGCTCTTCACTACCTAGTCTTGCGGTTTGGAATAAAAAAGTCTTGTTTTTTTTGTAAATAAATTCTTTGTGAATTGATCATGTGGCTTATCGGCACTGTTGTTTATCCCTTGTATCGTAAGTATTTCTACAAATGCATAATTAATTAGTAATTAATTGGTAGCGACAGAAAATCTCGATCGATCTAATGCTGACTTAACAAACACTCGATTGTTTAAACCGTGCGTATACTACTACGTACTTTGTCAATGATAGCCTTAATATGTACTTAAGATATTTGGCTTTATCGCGATTGATAATAATTTTAAATATTATTTCGAAATTGATAACTCCTTTGTTGATATCTCTCGGCTCTAGTTATGTGATTCGAGGTATTTATTTTATAATTTTCTCTTAAAACATGCATTTATCTTTTGAAAAGATAATTTTCTAAAAGTCGTAAACTTTATTTAATACATAATATGATTATAGCGTGTGTTAGAAATAATTACATATTATCTTTTTTTTGTAACTCTTGAATATATTTTGCAATGTAGTTTCACAAATACATATGTATATGATTAATATTTATATAGAATTGTTACATATACAAATCACAATATCGAATTAATAAGTTAGTAGGAAACTTATTAATTTATGTTATCTATATATCTATTTCTAAATAGCTCTACGCTATAATTACGCTCATTTGTTACGTTTCTTAAATTGTATATGCAGACCCTCAGCTGCATATGTAAATAGGCTTATTGCGTTATTGTCACTCGAGATACAATTTTTATTCATGTTGTAGTGAACTGTATAGTTGGAAAGAATCATAATTAATGCTACTTTTGTAAGTAAAATAGCCAATCTCTGTCCTGAAAATTTAAGACAAATATAATTTTATGTAATATAATTTACGTGTCTGTTCGTA